CACCACATCTATTCAAATAGTACTTGAAATTCTAGACAGAACAATTAGGCAAGAAAAAGAAATAAAATGAATTCAAATTGGAATTAAAGAGTTTAAATTATATGTTTGCAGATCACATGGTCATGAAACACAGAAAAATACATCAAGATTTTTCAGATGTCCTAATATATACTAGCAATTTCTTTCTGAGAAAGAAATTAAGAAAATATTCCCAGGCTAGCTTTGTGACTTGATAGTTAAGGCTGCTGGATCCCACATGGTCAATCACATGGTTCAAATCCTGGCACTGGAGACTTGAGAAACATGCTAGGTACATGTGTGCATACCTCAAATCCTGGCAGGTTGGAGAAATGGGAAAGAAGGGATTGCAGTATGAATGCATCCCATTGGGGGAGTCCTTTCTCTGTGTGTGTGTGTGTCTCTTTGTCTCTTTCTGTGGTGACTTCATGTGCCCTCTGGAAATTTTGAAAAGAAAGGAAGGAAGAAAAAGATAAAGAGAAAGAAAGGAAAGGAAAGGGGAAAGGAAAGGAAAAAGAAAGGAAGGAGATGATCCCATTCACAGCGTGTAGCATCTCAAAAGAAGAAAATAGGAATAAATTTAATCAAAGAGGTAAAAATCTGCACCTGAAAACTATAAAATATTGATGAAAGAAAATGAAAAAGAGACAAAGCAAATGGAAAGATATGTATGTACTTAGCCTGCAATAATTAATACTGATAAATTGTCTATACCATCCAAAGCAATAGCACAGATATGCCAATTCAATGTAATCCCTATAAAATTTTAATGGCATTTTTCACACACACACACACACACACACACACACACACACAAATCCAGAAATTCATATGGAACCACATATGACTAGCTAAAGCAATTTTGAGAAAATGGAAAAAAGCTAGAGGCATCAGACTCCCTGATTTCAAACTGTATTACAAAGTTATAATAATCAAAACAGTATGGTACTCGCATAAAAACAGACATCTTAACCAATGGGAACAGAAATATAAAACCCAGAAATAAACCTAAATAAAACCAAACATACGTGATCAAGTAATTGTTAATGAGGCCACTGAGAATACACAATGGGAAAAGGATAGACTCTTCAATAAATGGTGCTGAAAACAACACATGCAAAAGAATGAAATCGAGCACTACTTTTACATCATATACAAAAATTAACTCAAAATGGTTAAAAGATTTAAACATAAGACCTGAAACCATGAAACTCCTAGAAGAAAACATAAGAGAAAAACTCCTTGACATTATCCTCAACAATTGGGGGGGGGGGAGTAACACAGCAAAAGCTCAGGCTACAAAAGAAAAAATAAATACACAGAAAACAAAACAAAAAAATAATAAAACAAATAAATACAAGAAAATGTTTCAAATTAAAAAGCTTCTGCACAGCAAAAGAAACATTCAACAAAATGAAAAGCAACCTTTGGACTGGAGAAAATATTTCCAAACCATATATCCGATAAGGAGTTAATATCTAAAATTATTTATAAAGAACTCTTACAACTCAATTGCAGAAAAGCAAATAAGCAATTTAAAATGGGCAAAAAGCCCTCAGCAGACATTTTTCATTCTTCTAAAGAAGACACCCAGAGGGAGGAGCCCAGGCATGCCAGCCCTGCCCTATTAGCACTTGCCAATACTTCGATATGCACATTTGGTACTGGTTTTTGTGATACTTGGAAATCCAGGCACTTTTTCTATGTTATCTAGTGTGATCATCTTTTCACTTGTTACAGTGCAAAAACAAAAAAATTGCTCTTTATATTGCAATATCTGTATTTGACTAGGATTAATAGTATTATTACTATTTTTAAATTTGCTATAGGGCATATGTGCTCATCAGAGAGAGAGATGTATGAGAGAGTGAAAGAGAGAAAGCAAGCTGCCAAGTCCAGACTCAAACTGTGGTTGACCATGTGGAAGTCCAGTACCTTAACCACTATGCCTTCTGCTGGCCCTAGAATAATAGTGTTTTTATGGAAAATTTACAAAATTACATTTTTAAAAAATGATTTTTTAAAAAGAAGATATCCAAATGGTTGACAGACATATGAAAAGGTGCTCAACATCACTAGTCATCAGAGAAGTGCAAATCAAAATCACAATGCAACATCTCATACTTGTTAAAATACCTATTATTTAAAAAGACAAAAAAGATAACAAGTGTTGGTGAGGGTGTGGCAGGAGTGTATATATACCATTGTCTAGAATGTAAATTGGCATAGACATTATGGAAAACAGTATGTAGGTTCCTAAAAAAATTAGAACTACCATATGACCCAGCAATCCCACTTTTGGGTATTCATCCAAAGGCATTGGAATTGGGATTTTTTTTTTTTTTTTAAGAATTTCTTATTTGGGGTTGGCAAGTGGCATGGTGGTTAAGGGTACTGGACTCCCACATGGCTGACTGTGGTTCGAGTTCCAGATCTGGTGACTTGCTTTCTCACTTTCCCTCTCTCTCTCTCTGTCCCTCTCAGGTCAAGTTAAAATAAATACATTAAATTATTAAAGTTAAATAAAATAATTATTTTTTTGGGGGGGAGAGGTTTTTGCTATAGGGTGCGTGTGCTCGCCAGACAGACAGAGAGAGACAGAGAGATAGAAAGCGAGAAATTACCCCCCAGGGGGAATGGCCACGCCACAATCCCTTCTCCTCCATTCTCCTCTCGGGATCTTGGGCACACATGCACACGCATGCAAACGGTGTGTTTTAAGCCACTGGGTCCGGGACACGAACTGCGGTCAACTACATGGGAGTCCAGCAACATAGCCATTATGCTAACTGCTGGTCCCAATAATTCTTTTTTTTTTTTTTAAAGAATTATAAAAGCAATTCTTTGTTTAGTTAATTTTATTTCTTATTGAATCTTTAAGAGATACTTGCTGCTATGGTTTGAATATGCCCCACAGTGGTGAAATTATGAGGTGGGGTCTTTTGGAAAGTCATTAAGTTATGGGCAAATTAGTGCCTTATGAAAGAGCTGGAGGGAATTGGAGTGGGTCCTTTTTTGCTCTTTTAATCTCTTGCCATGTGAGGACACAGCATTTGTCTTTTTTTGCATTTCCACTCCTACAATAGATGGCATCATCCATGAGGCACAGGCTGTCCCCAGACACTGAAGCCAGTGGCACCTTGATATTGGACTTTCCAACCTCCAAAACTTTGAGAAATTAAATTCTATTTTTTATGAGTTACCCAGTCTCAGATATTTTGTTATTGTAGTATAAACAGACTATGAGACCGACACCCCGTGTTTGTTCCAGCATTATTCATAATAGTCAAGATGCAAAAACAATCTAAACATCCATCAACAGATGAATGATTAAAAAATGTGGTACATATATAAATATATATATATATAAATATATATATACAATGGAATATTATTCAATCTTAAAAAGAAGGAAAGTCTACACTCACAATACTATGGACAGACCTGGAGGACTTTACGTTAAGTGCAGTAAGTGAGACATAAAAAGACATGTACCATATGACCTCACTTATATGTGGAATCTAAAATAAACCCATAGAAGCAGAGAAGAGATTGGGGTTATAAGGGGCTGGAGGCAGGGGAAAATAGGGAGGCGTTTGTCAAATGGTACAAAGTTTCAGTTATGCAAGATGAGTAAGGTCTAGAGATCTACCGTACAGCATGATGATCATAGGTAACAATACTGAACTGTATTTGTAAAGTTTCTAAGGTTTCTAAGTATTCTGGGCTGGCAGGTGGTGAGGTAGTTAAAGGTGCTGGATTCCCACAAGGCCTTCTGTGGTTTGAGTTCTGGACCTGGTGGCTTTCTCACTTTTCCTCTTTCTCTCTCTCACTCTGTCGCTTCCTAGTCAAACTTAAATAAATAAATAAAGTTAAGTAAAATACTTATAATTCTTTTTTTAAAAAGTTTCTAGGTGTTCTCACCACACACACACACAAAGGTAATCATGTGAGATAATGAACATATTAGCTTTATTGCATAGTTACCTTATTTTAATGTGTATATGTTCGTTGAACAATCAGTTGGCCCAGCCTGACGAGAATGGAGGAGAAGGGTTGTGGTGTGGCCATGGTGATTTCTTACTCTCCCTTTCTCTGTCTCTCTGGCAAGCACATGCACCCTATGGCAAAAACCTAAAAGAAAAAAAAATGCACAGGCAGTAAAGAAAAGTCTACACTAGTTCCACTGAGCAAATCCAGTTGCTTTTCTATCATTCTCATCATGAGAAATCAAAGAAGTTTTATGCGTACATATATATGTACATATTTCAATTGACACAGGGTGCGTGTGCTCCTTGAAGAGACAGAGAGAAAGCACGCCCTAATGGAATGTAGTCATGCCACAATCTCTTCTCCGTTTCTCTTGTCAGGATTTTGGTCATGTACGCACATGCAAATGACATGTTTTTCAAGCCACTGGGACTGGGATTTGAACTACAGTCAGCCAAACCATGTGAGCTCCAGCTTTCTTAACAATTAGGCTATGGGGTTAGCCCTTCTTTTTCTCTTAAAAAAATTTTTTTAGGAGCTAGTTGGTGGCCTGGTAGTTAAGACATTGTGGCAGACTGTAGGATTCAAGTCCCAGACTTGGAAGCTTGAGAAACATGCTGGGTGCATGTGCATGCATGCCTAAAATTCCCAAAATGCTAATAGAGGAGAAGGGATTGTGGTATGACAATGCCCTTTGCGGGGTGCTTTCTCACTTGCTCTCTCATGCCTCCCCACCTGTGAGTGCATGCACCTTCTGGCAAAATTATTTTTCGAAATTAAAATTATTAGGGACCAGCAGGTAGCATGATGATTAAGGGCACTGGACTCCCACATGGCCGACCACGGTTGGAGTCCCAGAGCTGGCAGCTTGCTTTCTTTCTTTCTCTCTCTCTCTCTCTCTGCCCCTCTGTGACCAAATTAAAATAAAGTTAAAATAAAATAATTCTTTAAAAATTTAAAATTATGAGCTCTCTCTGTGCAGATAGCAGGCCCGTAAGCATGGTGAACGTCCCTAAAACCCGCCGGACTTTCTGTAAGGAGTGTGGCAAGCACCAACCTCATAAAGTGACACAGTTCACAAAGGGCAAGGAGTCTCTGTGCACAGGGGAAGGGCGTTATGACAGGAAGCAGAGTGGCTACGGTGGACAGACTAAGCCTATTTTCTGGAAAAAGGCAAAAACTACAAAGAAGGTTATTCTGAGGCTTGAATGTGTTGAGCCCAGCTGCAGATCTAAGAGGATGCTGGTTAGTAAGAGATGTGAGCATTTTGAACTGGGAGGAGACAAGAAGAGAAAGGGTCACATGATCCAGTTCTAAGCCTCATCTTTTCTATTATGAGAACGACAAAATCTTGAGGTGAATTTTCACCTCCCTTGATTACAGTTGGCCTATTTGTAATGGAATAAAGTAATCAATAAAATTCCCCTTTCGGGGAAATTTGATTCATGGTAAAAAAAATTTTAATTATTATAAAAAACAGATCTGGAAAAGTCAACTATCAAGTTTTCAAATGAAGATCGTTTTTGTTAACTATTGAGCACCCTTTGCGCATATTTAAATGCTAGTGCCCAGGTTTTATAATTTTTCAGGGTTTTCTTTCTAATGTTCAGTTCATTACTTGGATTTTTGCCTATTTATGAAGGTATGAAAAGAGCAAAGAGTTGGAACAACTTAAATGTCAAATAATTTATGGGCTTCTTAAATAAATTATGGCCACTTACTAAACTGCATGTATGATATAATCCAAGTTTTATGAAAAATTCATTATGTCTTTGCAGGGATCCACAGAAAGTTATCACTGGTTGATGTCTCTGAGAAGATAGGATTGCTGTTCTTTGTTCTCTGGTTTATGTCTTTCTTTGGCTCATTTGTAAATTTTTCTATAATGAGTGCATACTGCTATTTTAATAAAAATAGGAATATGAACAATAATGATAAATAATAGCTAACATTAAATACTCACCATGTGCCAGTGTGCTAAATGCTTGATAGAAATTCCCTTATTGAGTACATGCTGTAGACTATTATCAACTTTTTAAAATAAACTTCTGGGGCCAGCAGGTGGCATGGTGACCATGGCTGATCATGGTTGGAGTCCCAGACCTAGTGGCTTGCTTTCTCCCTCTCTCTCTCTCTCATTCTGTTACTCTCTGATCAAATTTTAAAAATAATCAATAAAGAGCAATAAAATAATTCTTAAAAAAATAAATAAACTTTGAATTCTGGAGTATATCTATAGAAAAGTTGCAAAGATATTGATAATACATAAATGTCTCATAAACACACCCAGTTTCTCTTGCTGTTGGCATCTTACATTAATACAGGATACTTATCACAATTGGAGTTCAGACTTTCAGATTTTCTTAGTTTTTTGTTTGTTTTAAGTTTTTTTTGTTTTTTTTTGTTTTTTTTTTTTTTTTTGAGGGGTTTTTGCTATAGGGTGCGTGCACTCGCCAGAAAGACAAGAAAGACAGAGAGAGACATAGAGACAGAAAGCGAGAAATACCCTCCAGGGAGGACGGCCACACCACAATCCCTTCTCCTCCATTCTCCTCTCGGGATCTTGGGCACACACGCACATGCGCCTGGCGTGAATTTAAGCCACCAGGTTGGAGACTCGAACCGTGGTTGGCTACATGGGAGTTCAGCGACATAATCATTACGCTAACTGCTGGTCCCATGTTTGTTTTAAGGTTTTTGCCATTGGACATGTGCCCTCACCAGAGAAAGACAGTGGGTGGGAAAGTAAGAAATCACCTCCCTGGGGGAGATGGCCACTTCCAATCCCTTCTCCATTCTCCTCCTGGGATTTTTGGGCATTCACATACACATGCCCAGCGTGATTTCTGAGCCACCAGGTTCAGGATTCAGTCACCATGTCTCCTTAGGTTTCTCTGGACTGTGACAGTTTCTTAGACATTCCTTGTTTTTGATGACCTTGATAGTGTTAGAGTGCTGGTCAGATATTTGCTGACTATACCTTGATTGGGGTTTGTCTGGCATTTTTCTTTTCTTTCCTAGTTCATGTGTATGTGTAAGAGAGACCCCCTCAACAGGGTCTCCTCAGGTTGAGATCGTCTTTCCCCAGCCCTCCATCTCGTCAGGATCTTGCATGCACCCATGCACCCAGCATGTTTTCAGATCCACCCAACCAGGGATCTGAATCCATGGTTGGCCCATGTGGCTTGCACTGCAGTTTAGGACACTACTGTCTGTGCCATTGAGGCTGGGTCATGATGTTTTTCTGATTAGACTGGGGTTATAGGTTCTGGAAGGAAGTGCCATTCTCATCACATTGCATCAAAGGTATGTGTTACCCAGATCACTTATCACTAAAGATGTTAACCTTAATCTCTTGGCTGCGGTGTGTTTCCCAGGCTCCCACTGCAACATGATTCCATTCTCCTTTTCTTTCTTTCTTTTTTTTTTTAAGTATTTTTTTTTAATTTAACTTTATTTATTTATTTATTTTAATTTGACCAGAGAAGGACAGAGTGAGAAAGAGAGGGAAAGTGAGAAAGCAAGCCTCTATGTCCGGGACTAGAACTGTGGTTGGCCATGTGGAAATCCAGTGCCCTTAATCAACACGCCACCTGCTGACCTCCTTTCCCCTTTTCACACTGGAATAGTTAGGAGTCACAGTGCACAACCCATACTTCAGGAGTGGGGAGTTACAATGCACCTCCTTGAGGAAGGAGCATCTACTTAAGTCTCTAGAATTCTTCATAGATTTGCCTGTTCTCCCCATTAATTAGTTTATTCAATCATTTATTTACATCTGTATAATCTCGTGGACATTATCTTATGCTTTGGACTATAAGCCACTACTAGGTTGTGTTGTTGCTCACATTGTTTCTGCTTTGGCTATTAGGGGCTTTCTGCTGGCTCCTGTGTCCCTTTGACATTGTTACTATCCACCTTTCATAGAAGAAAAAGTAAAGTTGAAAGAAATTGAATAGCAGCCCGAGGGGCCACACTGCTAGTCAGTGGATCTCCTAACTTCTGAGCAACAGATCTAACCACTGTACTCTGCAGTCTCCTGTAAACATACACACACACACACATACACACACACACACACACACACACACATGCAGGTGGCCATGCACTTCTTTTAAAAATGGAATTAAAGTATGAGCTTATGTTGGTACAAAAAATTGAAATCCATGCGTAGTTTTTTTATGATACACATTTCCCGTGAGTTTTTACAAGGCCACTTGTGTAATTGTGTGTGTATTAGTACTAACAACTGCTAGAGAATGTGTGCACTTGCCAGAGAAGTGAAAGTACCCCGCATGCTGCAATCCCTTCGTCTCCATTTCTCTATCCTGCCAGATTTTGGTGCATGCCTGCACAGGTGCCAGAGTGTTCTTCAAGCTGCTGGGCCAAGATTTGAACCACGGTTGGCCATGTGGATCCAGCTCCCTTAACCACGAGTCCATAGGGCAGCTGAAGACTCCAGTCTTACAATTTTTAGGGCCTTAGGAGTTTAGAACATTTCTAATTTTATTTACTTAATGTTTATTTATCTACGTATTTATTTGTTGTAATTTTCAGGCTACCAGGTCTGGGACTTGAACTGCAGGTGGCCATGTGAGAATCCAGTGCCCTATCAGATCACCAGCTGGCACTAATTTATTTTCATTCATAAACCTTGGCCAAGTTTTCGCTTCAGACCTGTGTATGACTGCGTATATCTAATGTGTTCTCACAAACCCTCGTTAGATATTTTATTTGTTCCAGTAAATGCTTTCTTGTTACATGTTTTGTTTATTCTAAATTCTTGCTAATATACACAATACAGAGAAGAAATAATTAACTGCAAAAAATTAGAAATTTTACAATAGTTTTAAAACACCTTGAAATGGGCCAGCCAGTGGCATGGTGGTTAAGGTGGCTGGATCCCACATGCCAGACTGTATGCTTCGAGTCCTGGACCCAGCAGCATAAACAACATTCCAGGCATGTGTACCTGTGTGCCCAAAACCCCCAAAAGAAAATGGAGGAAAAGGGATTGCAGCAAGACCATTCCCCATGGAGAGGATGCTTTCTCATTTCCCCTCTTCTGTATCTTTCCTGCACGCACATGCCCTCTGGTAAATTACAAAAAGAAACAACTTGAACAGAATGCTTCAATGCTTTGAGTTCTGTAAACATTACAAAGCCATTTCACAAGGAACTAAAAATACTAGGACTCTCAAAACAGCAGCTGAGGGACCAGCAAATGGCATAATAATTATGTGGCTGGACTCCCATGTAGTCGACTCACGGTTCGAGTCCCGGACCCGGTGGCTTAAAACTCACAACAGGCATGTGTGCATATCCAAAATCCCAAGAGGAGAATGGAGGAAAAGGGGTTGTGGCATGGCCATCCCCCCAGGGTGTGATTTATTGTTTTCTGTCTCTCTCTGTCGAGCACAAATGCCCTATAGCAAAAAATCTCACTTAAAACAAAACAAAACAAAACAAAACAACACAGCAGCTGCAAATACCAGATCTCATGACCACACAAGGCCCTGATGCTGGTCAACCTGCTTTGGACTAAGGACATAGAGTCTCCCTGCCCTGGAACACCCCTCTCTGTGCTAACCACTGAGCATGTGGCCTGGGGCGAGGCCAGACTCAGCACAGCCCCTGCTCCCTCAGTGAGCTACAAGAGAGCAGATCCCCTAACGGACCGCACCGCCACGCTCCGATCACACCAGCTGTTCACAGGTCACCGTAACTAGAGAGCGAGGGCTCCGTGGACCACGCGTTCCATTCTTGGCCTAGAGTCACCTCCCTCTGCCTGCCAGCCCATGCAAGAAACTCCCACGCCAGCACGCTGGGCTGGCGCTCCTTGGGTTGTTACTGTCTGACCTTGGGCTTTCCCTGATTCTGTCACATCATCTCTCCTAACGCTCACAACAGCCCTGTGGCGTGGGTGAGGAACTGGGCCCGATGTACAGAGGAGTAAACTGAGACACAAAGGTTCACCGACCATGTTAGCAGCAGGGTGAGTCGCAGCTAGAACCAAGCCTCTCCCTCTAAATCCAGCACTCCTTCCTACCCCTGCTGCATCCGGGCTCGGCTCTGGTCTCTTTATGGGAGATACTGACTCAGGACCTCCCCTGCCTCGTTCCAGGCTTGGAATGGTACCGGGGCGCCTCTTCAAAGACAGCTGGCTCCTTGCATCTGCCGACAACAGAGGGAGCATCAGAGAGCTGAGGGGTCCCAAGCTTCTCCCCTCTGACAATGGCACAAAGGCCAGGATGAAACTAGGTACAGGAAAAACCAGTGCCCACACTGCTGCCCGGGGCCCACAGGTGCAGCACCGG